GCGTCCGAGCTCATCGCCCCTCCTGCCGCCTCCTCCCTCTGTTTGAAGGCCACGCCCGGTGCCTCTGCTCTCAGCCCTGGTGGCTGGTTTCCACATGTGACTGTTCTTCCTCCCACAGACCCGACTGATGTCCTTAGGACCTAGATCAAGTGAGGCGTTTCCGTTCAGCTCAGGTGCAGTTAGGAGGGGAGACTGCAGCTGCCAAAGCTGAGCAGCGCCTCCAGGAAATGGCTGGTTTGGATGCTACGGACACTTACTAGAGTGTATCCAGGTTACTAAGTCAATAATGTAAGGAAAGAATCCGGACGGAGCTGGCCAGCCTGATTCCTTTCTCTCTTATACAGAATGGTGAAATGATTAAAGGGGAAAACAATTTTAAAATTCTTATTTTTTTGCAAGCATTGTATTCTTATCATCCACTCATACCACCTATATGTGAATACCAGTATCCTAAATTGTATGGAACGGACTTAGGAAGCAGTAAGTAAAAACCCACATTACAAACAAATACCTGAGTTAACTGGGGCCTTTGTAGTGTATGTCTCAGAGTAAGTGAGGGTGGACAGGAGAAGTGTGTGTCTACTCGTTTTACTTTTCATCCAGTCCCAGATATCCCACCCCTTTGCTTTCTCCTGCCTCCTTCATCTATCAAAGTCACTGAGACCTATAACTTTATATATAAGACTAGCAGTTTCTTTATCACCATCATCATTATAATCACCAAAAAAAGCATCTGAGACACTGAACCCTCTAACCCACACAATACTTCCTCTCCCTGAGGGCACCTAACATTCTTACAGTCTGAGGCTTTGTTTCCTATTTAGTGCAAATACCTATGCAAGAAACATCACCAAATGTGTGTGCTGAGTGTGCATAAAGAGAAGGGTGTTTGTATCCTAGGGGTTTCATAAATTAGATTAGGACAAAATTATTACTCAAACTAGGTTTATTTTCCAGTCACTAGTATATAAATCCTCCTAAGATCTTTTAGATATTGAGGGAAAACATACTTTTGAGTTTCATTTACATTTTATTTACATTTGAATTTCTAGAACTACAATAGGCATAGTGTACTTGACTGAAATTTGAAAGTGCTTCTGTTGGGGGTGGAATTGTTAGACCTGTGGGGTCAGAGCAGATCTGGGTTCAGCAACCTCGGTACTTGAACTCTGGCTAGGAAAGAATTCAGAGCCAAGACTCAAACTATAAGAGAACATTTATTTGGAAAATCACAGAGATAGAAAAAGTAATTTGTAGATGAAATGGGCTGAGGAAATAAGTTACAGAGGCAAAGGAAGGGCCCTTGAGCTTAGAAGTGAGGAAGGTAAAAGTGATGTGCCTGGGGTAGGGGCTGGGACGGGAAGGAGGAGGGGAAGGCGCTGGTGTGCTCCTGGGAGGGAGAGCGCACTGGGTCCTCTGTCCTAAAGGCTTTAAGGGTAGAGATTTTTAGGGGAGTTCCTAGGGGCAAACTCAGTAGACTATTCAGCAGCTTTCTAAGTGTCCTCTCAGGGTCTTGGTCTTCCTTCCTTTCTACTGTCTCTCAAAATCAATGGAAAAAATATCCTCAGGTGAGGATTAACAAACAAAAAAAAGAGTGAAATATCTCATTAAAATGTTACAATATTAATTACATGTTGAAATTATAATATTTTGTATATATTATGTTAAATTATGTATATTATTAAAATTAATTTCACCTATTTATTTTTACTTTTTAAATGTGGCCACTAGAAAATTTTAAATTATATATGTGGTCCGCGTTCCTATTGGACAGCACTGAGTTAGAATTACTGTGGCTTGTGCTTTGTGGTTATTTGTTAAAAGGCAAATATGGTAGTAATGCCATGGGCTAAAAAAGTCATACTTGATATTCATGCTTATTAATCAGTGTAACTTAACCATATTTTTAAAAATACATTTTTATTGATTTTAGAGAGACAGGAAGGGAGAGGGAGAGAGAAACATCGATGAGAAAGAAATATCAGCATTGATCGGCTGCCTCCTGCACGCCTCCTGCTGGGGATTGAGCCCAAAACCCAGGCAGGTGCTCTGACCAGGAATGGAACCGGTGACTTTCTGGTGCATGGGTTGATGCGCAACCACTGAGTCACACTGGCTGGACTCAGCCATATTTTTTGACTCACTGTAATATGCGGTAAGTTAAAGACTATGGAACTAAAAACACCATTTAGGGAGAAGTAAATGATGATTCAGCGTCTCAGTTGATGTAGGGGCTGAAATGGTAAGGTAAATGGCCAAACTGCCAGCCTCACACATCGTCGATGGGGACATATACTGATAATCCCCTTTGGGAACAATATTGCAGTGCATGTTAGGTTGACCTATATGAAATTACCTATATTCGACTGGTTTTGACTTTAAAAAAACAAACACAGCAGTCTCATGTGGTTTAATCTAAAACTATCAAGAACCTCAAAACTGTCAACATTCTTCCCCTCAGTAAGTTCGCCTCTGGGCCTTTATCCTAAGTAAATATATATGTATATGTACACACACACACACACACACACACACCCGAGGACACTCTGGCAGCCTTGAAAAGGTTGATGTGGCCAGCAAGAAACTGAGCTTCCCAACAACTACATGAGAGCTTGGGAGCAGGTTCTCCCCAAGTTGTGCCTTCAAATGACTGCAACCCCAGCTGATAGTGTGAAGGCAGCTTCATGAGAAATTCTGAGCCAAGACCATCTAGCAAGGCTGCTCCTGGATTCCTGACCTGCAGGAAATGTGAGATAGTAAGTGATGTTGTTTCAAGTTGCTGAGATTGGGTCATTTGTTATGTAGCAATGGGTAACTAATACATAATCTTTTTTTTCTTTTTTTTTAAAGTATACCTTTATTGATTTCAGAGAGAGGAAGGGAGAGGGAGAGAGAGATAGAAACATCAATGATGAGAGAGTCATTGATCGGCTGTCTCCTGCACACCCCCGACTGGGGATCGAGCCCGCAACCCAGGCATGTGCCCTGACCGGGAATCGAACCCCCATCGCCTGGATCCTAGGTCAACGCTCAACCACTGAGCCACAGCCGGCCAGGCTAATACATAATCTTAATGCACAAAGAGATTCACCATACTGTACTTTATAATGGCAAAAACCAAAGCCAAACCAAACCAATGTCCTAGAGGATGGGAATTGCTAAGTAAATTTATGACATATTTACTCGGAATATTATGCAGTTGTTAAAAATTTTGGGCTGGCCTCATTCTCAGGAATGAAAGTGGACAGTAGAAACCCACATATAGCTTCAAGGAACTTCTCGAAAGGAGTCACACTAACAACTGCTAACTAAGGACCACTTTTATAAAAATACCATCCAGTGTCTCATTTCTGTCTCCCTTTTCTGTTTCCTCTTTCCTTTGTGTGTTCTTGTAGAGAATTCCACCAGAGCACCAGGAGCCGTTTACTATCTAGCCTCCTCCGTGACCTGAGCTCCTTGAAGTCAGGGACTTATCTAAACTAGGCTGGAGCAAAGTGTGAATGCCAGTGAAGTCTGAATACTAAATATGCATTTTCCATTTAAGGTTTTTTTAAGCATAATGCAAAATTTTAGGTAAGGTGGCTCAGTTGGTTGGAGTGTTGTCCCATACACCAAAGGGTTTGCAGGTTCGATTCCCAGTCAAGGTACATACCTAGGTTATGGGTTCCATCCCCAATGAGGGCAAGTACAGGAGGCTATTGATCGATGTTTCTCTCTCACATTGATATTTCTCTCTCTCTCTCTCAAATCAATAGAAACATATCCTTGGATGAGGATTTTTTTAAAAAAGTATTATTTTTATAGCTGTTATTCTTGGACACACAAGTAATCAACATGCATATTCAAAAGATGATTATTTCTGACAAGTAAAATGGTTAAGACAAATTTATTCCTTTATCTAAACATTAGTATTAATATATATAAAAGTAGGCCATTTAGTCGTAGACCTCATTTTGAAGGTGTTTTTATATGCGCAAAAATGCACCTTTTCATTTTGTAAAAAGTTTTTTTTTAAGCTTGATTTTTTGGGGGGGCCTGGGAGAGAGAGGAAGGGAGATGGAGGGAGAGAAAGAAATATCGATGTGAGAGAGAAACATGATCCACTGAGACTGAACCTGAACCCTGGGCATGTGCCCTGACCAGGAATGGAGCCTGTGACCTTCCATGCATGGGTCAGTGCTCAACCAACTGAGCCACACTGGCCAAGGCTTTAAAAAGTCTTTTAAAAATACTATAAGATACATGGAATTTAATATTTGACATATTAGCACAAGATTCATGTTAATGTTTACTCATGTAAATAGTACAAAATACTGCCTAATTAGTGTGTCTGACAAATTTTTGGTACTTTTTCTCGTTACTGTAAACCATGCATAAAATGCTTGTCTATTGAGAAGTGCAGAATTGTCAGAGCTTAAACAGCTGACATCTGCTTACTCTCCTAATAAAAAAAATCCATTTCCGCCTAATCTGCCTAAATGTGTTCATGTAAATGGAGGTCCATCTATTGACCTGTATTCTTTTCAGCTCAGGATTGGTCCACATGGTTTATGAAACCAGGAGGGCTGATCTGAAATGCAGATGTTGAGACACTGAAGTACATCCTCCCCTTTTTTCTTTGCTGTATCTGTCAGGGTGAAAAATGGCTCGCACAAGGGTCAGTCCCCCATACTCACTCAATTATTTTCTTGGACCCACAGAACTGTCACAAGCTGTGGTGGATGCGGGAGCAGTTCCTCTTTTAGTATTCTGTATCCAGGAGCCAGAAATTGCTTTGAAAAGGATTGCTGCTTCGGACCTCAGCGATATTTCAAAGCATTCTCCAGAGTTAGCACAGACGGTAGTGGATGCAGGAGCTATTGCTCACTTAGCCCAGATGATTCTGAACCCTGATGCTAAATTGAAGGTATTTAAAAACAAGTTAAAAAACAGACTTCTGCTAATCTAAGAGAATGGAAATGTGTATAGATTATTTTCAAAAGTAATTTATATATTATCATTGAAAACATGTGACTATATTACATATTTGATCTTTTAATATGTGAAAATTATGCTGTAAGGATTAGACAATAAAGACGTGACTGGGAAAAATATGTTCAATGTTAAAAATTAGAAGTAGCATCAGTATTAACATTAATCATTAAAATAAGGAATCACATGATTGAATATCAGGGTGAGAAGGCACCTAAAGGTTTTCTAGGTCACCATTATTATATTTAAATTTCTTATGAAAATTGTCATATTTATGTTTGTCTTTTCTTTAGCTTTCTACAATCTGATTTTCAGTTAATAGTCACCAGTTATACTTTTATATGCTACTAGTTATAGCCCATAAGGTTTAAAAGTTGTTAATGTTAATTAACTAAGCAATGGAAAGTGCTTTGATGTTATCAGTATCATGCCAAACATGTTAGTTCTGCCTGATCTTTTTGTACTATATTACCACATGTATTGTAAATTAACAAGTTAAGCATTACATAATTAAGAAATAGTATTTATCCAAAGGTCATATTCTTTGATCATCTGTGATAGAGATTTAAATAGTCCAATTTGTGATAGAGATTTAAATAGTCCACAGAAAACTAAGACATTCAATTTGGAAATTAGGGAATTTAAGAAATTGAGTATTTAGGTATAAGACTAAGATGTGAATGTCTCTAGACTTAGAAATCTTAGGTTATGTTACATATGTAATTGTGTTTTTTGTTTTGTTTTTTAAATATAACTTTATTGATTTCAGAGAGAGGAAAGGAGAGGGAGAGACAGACAGAAACATCAATGATGAGAGAGTCATTGGGGATTGAGCCTGCAACCAGGGCATGTGCCCTGACCGGGAATCAAACCCCAATCGCCTGGATCTAGGTCAACGCTCAACAGCTGAGCCACACCCTGCGGGCTGTTTTTTCTTTTTAGAAAGGAATTTGACTGTATAAAGCTGCTTGAAGTATATCTGATCGCTGCAGTGGACTCTACGTAATGTTTTGTTTTATTTTGGTTTTTGCTTGACAGCGTCAGGTCCTTTCAGCTCTCAGTCAGATCGCAAAACATTCTGTGGATCTGGCAGAAATGGTGGTTGAAGCAGAGATTTTTCCAGTGGTACTTACCTGCCTGAAGGACAAAGATGAATACGTGAAGAAAAATGCTTCTACTTTAATTAGAGAGATTGCAAAGCATACACCTGAGGTAAAAAAAAAAGCTTTTTAAGTCCAATAATATTAGTCAGTTTTTGTTGTAAAGTAAAACATCAATTTGTATACAAGGCCCAGGTGCTGTGCCACATGATTTGGTTAGGTCAGGGTTTGTCATCTGAGCACTGTGGACATTTTGGGCTAGATAATTCTGTGTTGTAGGGGGCTGTCCCGCTGTCCTGGACACTGGAGGATGGATATTTAGCAGCACCCATTGCCCGTCAGTAGCATCCCCCACATCGTGACCATCAAGTGTCTCCATATGTTGCCAAACATTTCCCAGGGGCCGAAAGGGCCCCTCATTGCAAACCCCACTGGGTTGTATCAATGGAGTCAGACAGAAATCTGTTTTTAATCATTTCCTGCTTTCCATTTCTTGATTGTGGGGACCCTAGACTTTGCCATTCTTGTCATTTAGGTGATCTGGGAGTAGTGAGAGCTGTACAGTTCCAGGTGGGAGAGACCAGCAGGGCCCGGGCCTAGTGTGACTCCTCTAGGAGCTGCCCTTCCGTGGTGGTTCCGCCCTGAGTTCTTAGATGCCAAAGGCATAGAGATGGAGCAGGCCTGGGTGCCTTCTGTAGTTGTATCTTTTTCTGGGTATATTCTGACTGATCAGTTTCATTTCACTGAAGTTTAAAGTCCTCATTCTTTATTTCACCTAACATCTTTATTTGCTTGAAATTTTTTATAACTGAAATGTAATCAGCTGGTAATCACTGTTTGCAAAGGGGGATAACTAGGCGAGGCTATTTCAAGTCTGACATTGTCGTTCAGCATTCAATTAGTAATCTGCTTCATGCCCACACATTGTGCTTGGGGCTTTCAGTAGTTAGCTAGTTACGAACTAGCCTAGGCTTAGTGTCTAGGTGGGAGTTTTGACATCCATTAGATAGAGATAAAAGTTGTGCCACTGATGCATGAAAAATGAAGCACAGAGTAAACTCTGCACAGTGAGTATATTTGTACATTCAAAATAGAATTATTGTACTTGCATATTTCTTTAATAAGTATAGTAATTTCACTAAATCATATTTTTTCAAATTTTACCAGGTGTTTTTAGGTCCTAAGTGAAAATGTTTGACAATAGTAATGTTTACAGATCATCCTGTCCTGTCCAGTCACAGCTACCTAGCTCTCCTTCCTTCCCCTCAGCTTTCCCAGTTGATAGTTAACGCAGGAGGCGTTGCCGCCGTGATTGACTGCATTGGGTCCTGCAAAGGGAACATAAGGCTGCCTGGCATCATGATGCTGGGCTATGTGGCGGCTCATTCGGAGAACCTGGCAATGGCGGTGATCATTAGCAAGGTTTGTTCTTGATTTTCTTCTGGTTACTGCAGTGAGATATTCTAAGACAGAACCACAGTAATACTCTCCCACAGGTTATCAAATATGACTGACCAGAGTGAAAGGAACCTGAAGAATTTTTTGGCATGTTGTCAAGGCTTATTAGTAAGTTTCTGAAAGCAATGCTTGAAGTAAGGTTTACTCTGTAGGCAGTTTAAAGTTTTACTCAGTATTTAATATCTACAAAATAGTGATACTTCCGAATATTAGTATTACCTATTTTGAAATACTCAGTGTGTTTGCATCCTGAAGGGTGACTGTGTACATTTACAAACACGTGAAGCACACTGTGATTAAAGACAACTAGTGTAATTACATGCCCAGGAGTCATCCTCCCCTTTCCTGTCATTTGGGTAGGAGATGACAATAGCTAGGACATCCCTTCTTATCCATTTTCCTTCTGCTTTCATGAACTAATTTCTCTTTTTAGATGAAGGCAATTCAGAGCACGTGTCAGAGAGCAATGCTGTGTCTTTGTTTTAGGAATTTGGCTTCATCTCAATTTATAACTTGGTATTAACCCACCATACAGCATAGCCCTGACACATAGTAGGTGCTCAAAAATATTGATTGAGTGCATAAATATTGATCTGAGCAATGCTTCAGAGGCTGTGTGCTTCATGTCTCCAGCGACCATCTAGCGTGGGGGTTTCTTATCAGCATGGGAAATCTGCTCTGTATGTTAAACAGAAGTGTGGATTTTTTTTATCCCTTGCTAATCCTCAGAATAAAAGGGACCCTCAGATCTTTATTTTCTACTTATTCCTTGATGATTCTTTGCTTTACTCGCTTTTTATCCTACGCTTTTCCTTTTGTTCTCCTATTACCAGAGACTATGATAGTGACTAGAACAGTAGTGCCGCTTTCTGAAGGGTCGCTGTGGGGATATTACTGGGATTTTTGATTCTTGGTTCCGTTGTGGATCGTCGGAAAGCTTACACACAGGAAGAATGATGAAAGCAGCAGCAATTGCTTTTGCTTTCTCTATGTCCTCCCTAAACTAACCAGGAGGCGCTCCCCTCCTTTGGTCGAGGGCAGAGCTGCTGCTGGCCTCTCCCACCTACTTGTCTCTCAGTTGGTTGAAGGTCAGGGTGCCAGCAGCATTTGAGGCAAATGCATAGTTCTGTGTCTTTCTTTCTTTTCCCCACATAGCACCCTAAGGACTAATAGCAGCACTTCACATTTAAATAATACTTTATAATTTTCCAAGCACATGCATGTTTCTTATCTCATTTACTATTCATAACATCTGAAGCCAGTGAGTCAGTGTTTGGAGGGTGGGGTGGTGGGGGGCTGACTTCGCTTCCTCCAGCTGCTTCAGTTTTGATATGTCCCAGAGAACAGACTTTCTGTTAAGCTGCCTCATTGGGAAGACAGGTCTGACCTTTTGTATTGCCAAACAGTTTTAGTTGGAAATAAGAAGCCAATGAAGAAATATGGCAGATCCCTTCAAGAAATTGGTCTTAATAACCAAATGTAAAGGCACAGGGGAAAAGGCGTGTATGATCACTTGGACTTTGCTATGGGAGCATGGCAGTGTGACATTGGCCTTAGTGGTACTAAATTTAAGGTGGTAATTGTTATAGTCTCAAATTAGTTATAAAATTATTCCTATACAGAATCCAGAATTATAATTTGATTTGGCTGTTTGATGCTGCCTTAGATATAGAAACAGATGTATTTGACGCCATTTAATTCTGTTTCGATTATTTAGATAAAACTGAAGCCTAAAGTTCAAAATACAAGCACATGCTATTTGTGTAACAAAAGTAATCATTTCTACTTTGACATTCAGTCATGTTAAAATAGGCAAAACTATCATTTAAAAGTTGACAAAGTCCTGGCTGGTGTGGCTCCGTTGCCTGAGCATTGTCACATGCACCAAAAGGCCACCAGTTTGATTCCTGGTCAGGACAGGGCTCGATCCCCAGTGGGGTCGGGCAGGGGGCAGATGACTAATGTTTCTCACGCAGATGTTTCTCTCTCTCCCTCTCTCTGCCTCCCTTCCCTCCTCCTCTAAGATAAATTTTAAAACATATTTAAAATAAAATAAAATAATGAAATTTAACCAAAATGAATGGAAATGTATTTACTAGTTCAGGAAAGGTTTTGTATTTAATGTAAAAGTTACTTAAAATAGAATTCTGGCTCATATTACTCA